GGGGAACGACCCGGCGGAAGGGCTGGGGGCGCACGGGGCGCTGCTCGCGATGATGTTTCACCTGCTCTCCCTTTTCCGTTCGCTAGCGTGTCCCGCCGGACAGGAGCGAGCGCCCCGGTGCCCGCGGCCAGCCGGCGGCTGGATGTGTAGGCGGTGTGGAGGATTTCAGAGCTAGCCTTGAACGCAGTAATTCCTCACTCTTTTCCCCTCCTCGGCAGCTCGGACTCCACTGATAATTTTGAGACCCCTGAAGCAGAAACGCCGACCTGCTCGCCCCTAAAGGAGTTCTGCGAGCCGCCGGGAGCGCCGGAGGCCGAGGCTGGGACGCAAGGTAAAGAGCCGGTGTGCACCTTCGACACTCAGCTCTGGAGGCGGAAAGGCAGGGTGGGGTCAAGGAGGAGAAGTCGCTGACTTTGAATAATGCCTGCCACATTTTTGGTGGTTAATGGCCTGGACGGCTCAAATGCCTGGGCTGGGCTGGGCTGGGCGCTCCACGAAGGGCTGTGATGGGTTGATAGAGAGGAATACCGGGATGTTGTGGAATCAACTGTCAGTTAAACGTCCCTCTGCCACTTCCCCTGCAGCCTGGGGGCTGCCCCCGCTGCAGCTGCCTGGTGTGTGCCCTGTGTGGCACTTGCTCTTGCACAGGAGCTGCTGTGGTGCTGGGGCCCCCAGGCTGGTCAGTGCTGGGGGTTTCTTTTCCCTGGAGTAAGGTGCTGAGTGTCCTCGTTGTGTAGCTGCAGTTAAAGATACAAAAGCTCAGTGGTGCTAAACCCCATTTTTGGGGAAATTGTGGGGGTTCTGCTGTAAATGTGTAGGGCTTCCTTTGCTGGCAGGACCTGAGCTGTTGCAGGCTTGTGTCAGACCCTTGTGTCCCACACTGCTGCTGCTCCCCTGAGTGTGACTCCCCAGTAGCGCGTGACCTCTCTTTGTACCCTCCTCTACAGGGGGATGTGCTGGTGTCTGTGGCAGACCTTGGTGTTTATCTCTGGTTTTGTGTTGTCACAAGGAAGCTTTGAAGCTCTGGTACTGCTGCAACAACAGCTGGAGGTTATCAGGGCAGAGCAGGGAGGAGACTTCCCCTTCCCTCTGCTCTCAGCAGGGCAGGGTGGCTGGGCAATGTCAGGATGTCTGTGAACCCCTGGGAGGGTCTGGGGGAGAGCAGCCTCTCCAGGGTGCAGGGCTGCATGTCCCAGACAGGCCATCCTGAGCATCCTCTGCCCTCTCCTGCCTCTCGCTGCTGCAGGCCCTGGTATGTGACATGCAATGTTACGCTTTCCTCACGTGTTGCAAGCAGGAGCTTTCTGTGGGGTGGGTTTTGGAGCACAGTCCAGACCCTGGGTCCTTCTGTGCAGGAGTCTAGGTACTGTGGACCATGACAATGATAGGATGCTCTAGCTCTCCATCTCCTGTGGTGGTGTTCTGCTCTTGGGATGAATCTGTGTGCTCACTCATCCCCGTGGAAAACACAGGTTTGTTTGCTGTAGTGGAGAGAGGACTTGGTTCGTGCTTCTGATAATTGCAGATCTTAGAATAATCCTTCCCTTTTAAGAAGGGATGATGAAGATGTTTTTACCTTGGGGATAATGTCTGGGGAGGGGAAGATGGAGGTAAAGGCTTTTCTAACAGGTAGAAGGATCATTTCTGCCAAAGTTCAGGGATGCATGTTGCCTCAGACTCCGGGATGTCACCATCCCTGTGTGTGCCTGTGCTCCTCATTCTGCTCCTGGTCAGCAGTGAGGGAGCCACTGCTCCTGCACACAAAGCTCCCAGTGTTGTGAAGCTGAGGGGATGATCTCTGGCAAAAGCTGTTTTTCCATGCTGGCTGGCAGAGAGTGGGATGTTGGAGCTGGCAGAGCCAAGCCGTGGTGCCACTGCACCTGACTCTGTCCCTTCCCTGCCCTCATCTCTAGCTGCAGCTCTTTGGTGTCTCTGGAATGGTGGAGGGAAGGGATTGCCCGGGTTTGGATGTATTTGTGGTGTGCAGAGGCACTTTGGGGTGATACATCACCATACCTATGTAATCTATACTTTAAGGCCTCATTTTTGTGATGCTGCTTCACAGCAGCCCGTGCACTGCCGTCTGGCTGCAGCTCGGGAGCAGCAGCAATGCTGGGATGGAGGCAATCCAGTGTAATGGCTGCTTGTCAGCAGCAAGACAGCTGAGCTGCAGCCCAGGGTGAGAGCTGCTGCCCTGCAGTCCCTGCTGACGTGTGCGGGGCCAGCGCCGGAGCCAGACCTGCAGGCAGTCGTGGCACCCCTGGCCCAGAGGGACAGTGAGGAGCAGGCAATGCCTGTTGTACAGCTGCAGTCTCATCCTGCCTTGGGAATAAAGAGGGTGAGGAAATGTGTCAGACAGAAGCTATGACTCCAGGGCTGGCTGCTCTGCACTCAGCCAAGAGGTGACCTGGGTGTGCTAAACCCACAAAATTTCTGCCCCAGAGGGGCCAGTAGTGAAGCTTTATGCCCACTCAGGATCACTCCAACAGTTTCTTCTTGCTGTCTTGGATGGTGGGGACTGTAATTGTGTCTTGTTCTTGCTCAAGTTATCTCCAGTCGTCTGCCAGTAGATATTTTGCACAAGGAAACAAGCAGAAGCAACAAATCTGGAGCCATTAGTGCTGGGAGCAGGCTCGTTGGCTTTCACTGCCATTACCCTGTCGCAGAACACGTGTTTTCCGGTGCGTTAGTGGCGGCTTCGTTTGCCGGTATGCTAATTCTTAACAGAATAGATTTAAAAATAGATCAACAACTGCTAAACACAAGCGGAAAGCCAAAAGAGGAAAGAAGTCGTTGGCGACGTATGGCTGAGCTGGATGTACAGGGCAGATATCCTGTGCTGAGCTCGCACGAGCCGGAGGAGTGCGTGACTCACGCCGAGCACTGCGCCTGAGCGGAGGCCAAGGCTCCGAGAGTGGAGGAGTTGTTCGCACCCGTGCTTGGCACTTGGGGCCATGCAGGGATCGCTGCTGCTTTGCTTGGCAGCTGCCTGTGGGATGGAAAGGGTGCTGAGCCTTTGCCTTGCAGCACTGCTGCTGCCAAGTGTTCCTGATTCATTGGAGGGAGCGAGGGGTGGCATGTTGGAAAGCTGTTTAAGTTGGTGTTTGTGTTTAATTTCAGCCCAAGAAAGACGAGCAAAACGATTATAGTGCACAGGCACAAAGTGCCTATTACTGCGGTTCCAGACTGTCCTGTCTGTTTTCTTTAGAGAGTATAAAAATCTCCATTTTTACTTTGTAGCATCCCCTCCAGGTTCTTGCTGGGACCAGGTGCAGGTTTGCAGCCTGAGCACAGCTGGGTCAACGGGTGTTCTCTGGGATCCAGTGTGCCTTGTGCTAGGTCTGTGTTTGGGACGGGTCCTGGGGTCACTGTGCGTGCTGTGCTGCTGGCAGTGTCCGTTTTCATGCTGGGACTAAACTGTCCCCACCTGCAGGGCACAGTGCCAGAGATGGGACAGGAGAGCCCAGGGTCACCTTCTCGGGATGCTGCAGGAAGGGCTGGTCCAAGAGGGAGAGCTGTGTGCGGTGGGTGGCTGCCAGGCTGCCTTCTCCTGGGCTCCTCTGGGGCATTCAGCACAGTTCTGGCCCAAAGGAGGGAGGAGCAGTGAGAGGGCTGGGGAGCAGTGGCTGGGCTGGGGGCAGTGGTTGTTTCCACAAGCTGGTTTCCCTGGCAGGAGATACATGCAGAGCCAACGCGGCTGCTCGCAGTGTGACCGCCCGGGGGTGGCGGGAGCTGCGCTCACTTGGGGATGTGGGAGCACACAGAGGAGGAGCAGGCAGAGCTGCAGGCAGTGTGTGGGTCTGGAGAGGGCTCCGTGGGGAACAGTGTTGCACTGAAGTACCACCGTGCTTGTACCCGGCGGTGCCAGGCAGCTGCAGGGGCTGGAGCACAAAGGTTGGCTCTTCCTAAGCTCCGCAAGACCCTTCAGGTCACTGGTTTCTGCGTCCCGTGTAACTGTTCCTACAGGAACGTGCGCTCCTCTTGTGCTGCATCGAAGGCAGAGGAAACACAGAGGGGGAGGAACTGGAGGAACCCCCCACCCCGAGCTTGCATCAGGGATGTTTCTGCTGAAAAAAACCCCAAAATCACAGGCGAGCTCCTGAGCTGCCCCTCGTCCATGCCCCCTGTCTCCCAGTGTATCCCAGTTCCTCTGCTTTCAGACTGGTTGAGTGGGTGGGCTGTGCTGTGGGAGGGGATGGAGCAGTTGAGCTCTTTCGGGTGCAGAAAATGAGGGAATCACAAAATTGGAAAACCTGGTGAGTGGTTCTTCTGATCTTTGTGACAAAATTCTTCTGAGCAATGGCCACATGTACCATTGCTCCTTCCCTCCCCGCCCTGCAGACACCACAGCATGGAGAAGTGGTTTCTGTGCCGACTGCTTGTTATTCGAGAAGTAATTACTCATTGCTTGGGTTAGAAACCAGGATGGGCTCATGTCTGTGAGAACAGCAGCTGCCAAACCTTCTACTGGGAATGCAAAATGCACTTAAAAGGTCCTTTTGCCCTGGCTTTGAAGTCTGTTCTTCTATTCAGGGCTGTCTCAGGAAGGCTTCAAACATCTGAGCAACACAGCAAGTGTAAGAAAGTTTTCTTTGGGGTCTGTTAAGGAGGTTTTCCTGGTTCCTAATGATGAGAAGGCCTGGCAGGAGCTGCCTCAGACTGTTTCCTGGCTGCACTCCAAGTACACATCCACTGGATTTGTGTTTACTGATGCGTTTTCTGGGGCAGCAAGACAACATCTACTTGGAGGGAGCACTTTTTTGCTATCAGAGGGAGCATTTTTGCAGTCTCAGGGAGCACACAGCCCCTCATGATTCATTTCCATGGCTTTTAGCATCCTGGGGATCAATTATGTGAACCACGAGCCATCAGCTGAGTCAGGGTTATTGGCTCCATGGTCTGGATTAGCCCTGGGACCAGATATTTGCCTGATTCACTTTTCCTCTGCCAGCCTGTGGCTCACTCAGTGACCAACAAACATGAGCTGGTTGCAAATGTCTGGTAATAGGAAAAGCTTTTCCTGAGACATGCTCAGGGCTGTAGGTCTCTGGGAGCTGGTGGTTGGCATCCCCTGGCCAAACGGGGGACACTCAAGGTGACTTCTCTCCGTGGCCATCAGCTGTGTGCCAGGGCAGGGCTGCAGCAGGGGTGGGTTCAGGCAGGTTTCCCTGGCACAAGCTCTCCATCACCCAGGCTGCTCTTCCCGGCCAATTCTTCAAACCAGTTTGGTTCTTGCATGAGAATTGGTTCTGTTCTGCCCTTGGAGGACCTGGCTGGGCTGTGTCTCCCTGGGAAGGTTCCCGCAAAGAGCTGCAGGTCCCACATGCTCCCTGATGGGTCCTGGGCATCACAGCATCCCATCCCACCTTATCCTGGAAGTTTGTGCAATCATCCCTGGCTGAGGTGTGGGAGAAGAGGTGCATGTGAGCTGGGCAGAGGTGATACCAGGTGATTTTTTCTCATGCCTGTGCCACAGTCCTGGCTCTGGGTGCTCAGTGGGTGCAGCTTTCAGGATGCCTTGATGAATAAGGAGCTTCCCCATCCCTCAATAGCAAAGAAAAGATTAAACAGTAAAAGGATTGAGGGGAAGGGATTGGAGTAATAGTGATTAAGTCATGGATCAGGATTTGTGATTAGGAGACACTGACAGCAGTGTGGAGAGCCTGGTGTGACTGCAGCAGGGTTTCTGCAGGTGGAGGGTCAGTTTGCATTGGGCAGCTTCTCCCTGCCTGCTGCACATCCAGTTCTACAGCCCCAGCACTGGGTGCTGGCCCCCAAATCCCCTTGTTTCATGGTGTTTTCTCATATTGTGTTTTGGGTCAGTGGATCCACCATAAAATCTGACCCTGGAGCACCTGTGAGGAGGGGACAGAAACCCCTCCGGAAGGGGGTGCACCGCAGGTTGGGGTTTAACCATTTTCCTTTTATCTTTTCAGAGCCAAGTGACCATGTCAACCTGCTGCTAGGGGAAGCCCACCAGGACAGCTCGCCTGGAAAGCATCCCAAAGATGAGGCTCAACTGGGGGCTGGAGCCCCGACAGCCAGCTTGGATGCTAAAGGGGAAACTGACCCCAACAGCTCACCCCTGACACAGCCTCTGTCCGGGCTGGGCCACCAGGCTGACGCTGGCCACGCCACTGTGCCTGCTGCGGAGCTGGCCCCAGTGCCCCATGAGGGCACAGCCGCCCGGGAGCAGGTCATGTCAGGAGGGGCCATGGCGGATGCTAACATGGGGCTGGTGGAGCTGAGGGCTGATGCCCTGGCCCAGGAGGGCTCACCTAGCCAGGACCAGCTCGGGAAAGGGAAAACACCTTCACTGGGGAGGAAAACAGATGAAGCTGCAGAGGAGGCTCTGGTGCCCCAAGCATCTTACCAGCTCGACCCAAAGCAGTGTGACAGGAGTGTGAGTCCCTTTGTGGCAGGGGGCTGCCAGCTGCAGAGCTCTCGCCTCACACCACCTCCCCCATCCAGGTGAGCTGGGGGTAGACCTGGCCCAGGAGTCCACAGGGCAGGTCCCAAAACCTGAGGTCAATTTTACAGAGGTGGGAGAGAGTGCAGAGCCCAGGAGAGCATCACCCAGGAGGGCCAGCAGGATCCCAGCCAGCAAGCTGACTCCAAAGAGACACAGAGAGTCTCCCAAGAAATCAGCTGTGGATGTGGAGAGGGGCTCCAAGGAGCTGCCCCCAGGGTCCCCCCAGCTGGGTCCTGCACATTGGAACAGCACTGGTCTTGACTCCCACAGTGGCAGCTCAGCACTGCAGAACTTGCCAGCTCTCCCCAAGGGCTCTTACCAGTTTGACCCCAATAACTTTGACTCCGTGGATCCATTCAAGCCCACCAAGATGCTCACCAGCACCACCGCTGACTCCTGCTCCACTGCTGATAACAGCCTCAACGAAATCCTCGAATCTCAGACGATGGAGGTGCAGGACGATCCCCTGCAAGGCAGAGACTCCCCCAAGAAACCCAAGTCGCGCCTGATAACGTGAGTGCCAGTGTGCATGGAGTGAGGGCCGTGGCCTCCTCCACTCCCCTGTGTGCAGCCAGAGCTGTGGTGGTAGCGCTGATGGTAGTGGCGGTGGTGATGATGGTGATAATGGTGATGATGGTGATAATGGTGCTCCTGCCCCAGTGCCTTCTGAGTGAGCCCAAAATCCTGTGGTACACCTCAGGTTCTGCTGCTGCCCCAGTTTTATCTGCCCCTTGTCCCAGCAGAGGGGAGGTTCCTCTCTCCCCGTCGGTACCCCCGATGAGAGGAGAGGGACACGTGTCCTGGAGTGGTGCCACTGTCCTGAGTCCCAGGCAGAGTGGGGAAGGCTGGATTGGGACCCACTTGCAGGATCACCTTTGGAAACCTCTTGGGGGTCCAGCTGATGGGTTGAGATGCAGGTGCATTGGTGTCAGAGGAAACTTGCAGTGGAGGCTGGAGCCGCCGAGTTTGCCAGGCACACGCAGGGATGTACAGGAGCTGGTGTCCACAGGTGTGGTTGGTCAGATGCTGCTGGGACCTCATAGTTGTGTGAGCTGCCTCTGAATTTCTGGTTTGTATCAGGGGAAGGGGACAGGTTGGTCAGGCAGACTGTCACTCTACTGTCAGATTCTCCAGAGGGAAAACTAGAGAGTGGGTTTTTACAGAGAGAGAGGAGAAAACGTCGCAGGCAAAAATCAGGCTGTGTTGGATGTTTTTGTCCTGGAAATGCTCTGCAGAGAGTGGATACAAATTTTGTAAGAGCTGGTGTTCCTGTGTGGCCGTGAGTGAGAAGAGCTGATGGGGAAGGGAAGCAGTGGGGAATTCTCCACTCCCTCTCCCTCACCTCGGAGCAGCACAGGTGGCTCTGGGCACTCGCTGCCCTGGCAGGCAGGTTTGTGGCTGGATCTCACTCCATCACTGTGGATAGCAGATGCAGGATCAGAGCATCCCGTGTGTGTGCCCTCCCAAAGGCAGAGCGGGGCAGCTCGCTGTGCTGTGTCGCTCCAGAGCAGAGTTAACATCCAGGTTTTTCACACGCTCTTCTTCTCTCCATCTGTCTGTCTCTCTCCCTGTCCGTGCTTTGGTGCATCAGGACTACTGAGCAAGTGAAATTTCTCTGTTTTCTGTTGTAAGTACTCTCTCCTGTATTCCTTTTATTTTCCTTTGCTGTTTTTGTCCTCTCTCTGGGTGTGTGCTGCCCCACTCGTCTCCATGGCATGCTGGCTCCTTCTGCCCTTTGACTTGTGCTCTCTGCTGGTTCATGTCCCACACCCCTTGGCCAGGTCTCTCGGGGAGCTTGGCCTGGAAAGTGCCCGGGAGTGAGGGAGAAGAGGAAAGCTGAGCTGAGCGGCACTGGCGGCGTGCGCCTGTGCTTGCTCTCACGGCATGCCGCCTCGCAGCATGCTTTGATGGTGGACAAGTGCTCAAAACCTTCGGCTGACAGAGAGGAAGCAGATTTTTGTGCAATCCAGAGCTGTTATCTCGGTGCTGGGGGGAGCTCACATCAGCTGCCAGATGGTGTGATAACACTGGCGCAGTAGAGGGTGCAGAGCAGAGGCGGATGAGGACACAGCGAGTTTGGCTGCTCACAGCAGGGCATGAGGGAGAAGATCAGTCCAGAGCAATTCTTCAGTGTGACCCAGGTGTGCATGGCAGCGTGCAAAGAAACTGTGTGCCGTGCCACGTCGCTCGTTGTGCTCTGCTGCGCATGTGTGCGGTGGGACAGGGCAGCTGGACGGTGCAGTGGGTGGGAGCAATTCCCTAAACCTGGGAACAGCTTGCTGTGGTCCTGCTTGAGCCTCTGGCTATGTCCCTGCGCTGGGGAGCGCCGTGTATGGATCCCTATCCAGGTCCCCGCAGGGACTGTCACATGAGCTGTTTCAGCTCAGCAAGCATCTCCTGGGGGGTCAGACATGGCCACGAGCCTGGGAGATTGCTGAGTGTGGAGTGCGAGGAGGTGAGACGCAGGAGGAAAACTTAAGCTCTCCCACCCACATTCCCACTGGGACTGTCCCTCTGCTGCCTTGTGCTGGTTCAAGGTGCTGATGCCCAGTGTGCTGGGATGCAGCTGTGCTTTCAGTCCTGCACAGATGGGCTCCGGATGGGATGTCTGGAGGAATGTGAAATGAAGTTCCAGGGAGAGCTTCCTCGCTGGAGGGCAAGGGGACCACCTGCAAGATCCACCTGGGCTAAGCATCCCACCCACAAGGCCCTTCTCCTTGGGACGACATTTGTACCAGGTGGAGTGTTCGCTCAAGGCACAGTGCGTTGCCCTGGTGCTCTCCCACCCTCTGTCCTGGCCACACGGGTCTGACTCACGTGGGAGATGCGTGGATGATGTGAAGAAGTCCCAGACAAACCTCCAGCTGCAGGGATGGGGCATGAGACAGCCTGGAAATGGTTCTTCCTGCAGAAAATGAAAGGGCACTGAGGCCCCGGGCGCTTTGTGCTGGTTGCACAGGGCGAGGGCGTAGCGAGGGAAATCCTTCTTTGTCGGCGTCTTGTCAGTCACCTCTCTCACCATCAGCCCCTCGGGGTCCTTGCTCTGCTCTTTACCTTCCTCAGGAATAAACACCTCACAGACAAACCCAACTGGTCTGTAGTCGTGTCTTTTGTTTGCCTGTTCCTTCTGTTCCTTCCAGAACTTGCTCTGCCTCGGTGTTTCACTGGTGAGTGGGGTGCTGGCACGCGGTGGGGCGCAACGCTAGTGCTGGGGCTGCCTCCCCCTGCTTGGGCTGTCTCGCACGTGCCCCTGCCTCCCCCTGGGCCGCCCCGGGCCCCTCCTCAGCCGCTGCTTCTCTTTCCTGCAGGAGTGGCTGCAAGGTGAAGCAGTACGAGAAAAAAAACATCAGCGCTAAGGTACGCAGGATCTCGCCCCCAGAGCTGCAGGCTGGGCACAGGGATGCTGGGATGGCAGTGGGGAGAGCTGGGTTCTGGGCTGGCATCTTCTCCATGGTCAGCTCCTGGTGGGAAGGGAGGGAGGACGGATGGTGGGGAGCAGCTTGTCAGTGGATTTTAAGCCCTCCATGCTTTCTATGGTGTATCCAGCAGCAACCCTGGTAGCCTCATCCCCAAGGATTAGCTCAGTCCTGTTTAACTGCATGCCTTGATCCCGCAGAATGAAGGAGTGTTGATCTCAGAAATCCCAGATATTGCAAATCGGGATGGACGTGCTACCGATGAGGAGAAGTTGGCCTCCAGCACCTCTGCACAGAAACCAGCTGGGCTGGAGAAGAAGGCTGAGCCAGAAGATGACCTGGAGTACTTTGAGTGCTCGAACGTCCCTGTGCCCGTGACGAAGCACAGACCAGAGGCAGGTAAGGAGCATCCCTGCTGCCTCCAGCTCTGGGAATGTGCTGTGCCTGCACCCAAGGACCCTCTGCAGCCTCTGGCAGGGAGGGAATTGGTGCTGTTGAGGCAGCACAGCCTCATCAGAGTTTATTTACACTGACAGGGCTAGAGGCTGCTGCAGGTTCTAATGGAACCTCCCATCGCTTCCCTGCACTGTTTCCATGGTGGAAAATCATGGTCCAAGCTGTGTTTATCTAGATTCTGGGTACAGAGCACTCTCCCCATGATGCCATGATGGGCTGAGGCTTGGGCACAAGGTTCCCTCCTCATCGTGCTACCTGTGAGTGTCCCCCTAACACCAGTGCTGCCCGGTGAGCCAAGCTGAGGGCTGTGCTGAGCTATCACTCGCCCTTCGGAGCACCCTGCCCTGCCCCCCAGGCTGCGGGGTCCCTGCTCAGAGCCTGTGCCAGGAGCAGAGCTGCTGAGACTCGGTGTCCTGGCACAGGGGCTGTGGTTGATGGAGATCTCAGTGATGCTACAGAGACCCATGCTATTGCTTGTGCCGGAATTCCACTGCCAGTCTTCTGTGTAATTAGCCTCTCTGACCAAGCCATTACAAAATAATTAAAAGCCAGGCAACATGACATTTAATCAATAGCCAAGTCCTAGGTGCAAGCAGGAGAGATCACTGCGGGGGGGATTTTCAGCCCTCCTCTCTGCAGGGACCCATTAATCATTTCTCCCGACGGCTGTGCTGGGTTGCTGTCTCCCAGGAGAGGAGAACAGCCCTTTGTCCTCACGGGAGGAAAATCTGACAGTCAAGGGAGAGGCTGGGAGGGTTTATTTATTGCTGCTGCTCTTGGAGGGCCAGGCAGGTGCACGAGCTTAATGCATCCTCGAATGTCCCGTGCATCTTCCTCCTCCTTGGCCACTGTGATCTCAAGGAAGGGCTGGCATGGGTACCAGCCATGGGGACACAGGCATGGGCTGAACTGCCACCAGAGGGGAGTGTTGGTTTCCACTCCAGGGAGCGCAGGAGGGAGGCTGGCAGGGTGCAGGATGTGGCACTTGGGAACAGGGTTTAATGGTGCCTTGGCAGTGCTGGGCAAACAGTTGGACTCAATGATCTTAGCGGGTTTTTCCAACCAAAATGATTCCATGCAAGGGCATGAGCTGGGGGCAAAGAAGCCTTTGGGAGGGGAAGCTGAGGGGATGGAGAGGCTCCAGGGGGTACCTGCTCTGCCTCTCAGAAAATCTGTATGTGCCCCAGGGTCCTGTTTCCAAGTCGATAAAGGGTTGTGTTTCCTTGTCTTTAGGCTTTGAAAAGGAGATCTGCAAGCAGATGGAAAAGGATGGGCCTGGCATCTTCCCTGTGAGTGCCTCTCTCTTCCTCCTCTCTGAAATGGGTTTGTTTGGGAGGTAAAATTCTTGACAAGCCCACACACGGACGTGATAAAAATACCGGAGGCTTCCCGGCAGGCCCAGAGGAGCCTGGCAAAGGCTGATCCCTCCTGGGTGGGTGCTGTGGTGAGGGAGGGATGCCAGGGATGGAGTAGTGCTGGTGTGGAGCCAGGGTTGTGCTGGGAAGTGTCTGAAAGACAGGGAGAGGGCAGAGGAGCCCACAGGGAAGGGACAAGCTGCCGGACACAGGCTGTGTCTCACGTGGAGTGTCTGGGGCTGGCTCTGACAGCCAGTCAGTGCGGGTGCCTTCTCCAAGGGATCCTCAGCCACTGCTCTTGGGAAGGCAGCTGACAGCAGACATGGAGGATTAATAAAAGAGCCCTGGCTCCACGGCCACCCTGATCCTGGCACCCCATAAACAGCACATCTGCACAAGGGTAGCCCTGAGGTGCCCTAGGAGCCCCAAGACCCCTCTGCTGCTGGGGGCACCCTGTGCCAGCTTAGCTGCCCCTGGCCAAAGCTGCTCGAGGTGACAAGCAGATGACAATGAGATTAGCAACATCAGCTAAACCTGCTTCACTGAGACAGATTTAACTGTGCTGATCCCCACAAGGACATCAGGCAAAGTGAACCTTTTGTTTGATGCTGGGAGAGCTTTGGGCAAGCTGGTGTCACTCCAAAGGTGTGAGAGGTGCTCAGGTGCACACCTGCTTTTGGGAGATGCTGTGGGAGGCTTCTACCAAACCACACCAGACTGAACCTCCTCAGTGTCAGGGTACCTGGACCCAAACCTGCCCCCGGGGGTGTCTCTGGGGACCTCCCACCACCAGCCACGGGCGCAGCAGAGCTGGCAGAGCCGTGAAGGGCTCAGTGTGCTTGAACTGAGTGGCAGCCGAAGCGCTGGGGAGGAGGGGAGGGGAGAAGTGCTCTAGTGCTCTCGTTTCCAAAACACGAGGAGCAGGCTGCCTCCTTCCTCAGAGCACTTCTCTATTTATGGCCTGGCAGCCCGTTCCCAAGGAGATGGCTGTGCGGCTGTCACTCGGCTGGGTGATGAAAGGAGGAACAGGCAGTAGTGTCAGCCTGGGCTGGAGGAATGTTTCTGGAGGCCTGTCAGGCTGCAGGACCCCTGCAGAGGAAGGGATGGCATTGGAATCCAGGCAGGCATTGGCGCCTGGACCATGGAACTGAGCCTTCCCCCCCCCAGTTTGGTCTCTGGCTGCAGCAGTGGTGCTCAGGAGTTGGGCTCTGGGAGGGGAAAGCAATGAATGAAGTGGGTACAGCCACTGTAATGACAACAGGAGGGTGCCAGGAGCCTGCAGGAGTATCTCCCATTTCGGAGTTGTCCCAGACACCTGTGGCACCGTGGGATGAGCAGGGCTGTCCCTGGGACTGCTGCTCTACAGAGGGGTGAAACCTGCTCCCCCTGCAGCTCCCTTGGGCATTTGGGTGGTCAGCAAGGCCCAGCAAATGTCTCTGCAGCTGCTGGCAGCAATTCGGGTATGTCAGCTGCAGTGACATCTCCACCAGACTGGGAGGGGATGGAGACAGGCAACCCAGACCCTTGCAGAACCTCCACCTGTGGCTCACAGTCAGCAGAGAACCACCAGGCTGGGGATATTTTTAAACCGACCACGGGGAAAAATGAGGGTATGTCGGATGTGAGCCTATCTCTGCTCAGAGCTGTGTCTCTTCTTTCCAAATGGGCCCTGGGGAAGCTCATGGCTGTCCTATGGCATGATCCTGGCTCCTGGCAAGGGAATGCACTAAAACCTCACACAGGCTCTGCCAGGTGTCTGATTTGGGCTCCAGGCTGTCCTCGTATGCTGGTAGTGAAGTTCAGTACCTGAGCAGAGGCTTGATAAAATAGGGCAGAGCACTCCAAACAGGGGAGGTGGGGTGAAAAAAGACCCCACGCAGCATCACAGCTGGGTAATTCCCCCAGGACAATCCCGGGCTGTACTCCATGGACAAGTGCCCCAGTTTAAGCAGGAGTGAGAGCCCCCTGGATGGCATCTGCCTCAGCGAGTCGGAGAAGACGGCCGTGCTCACGCTGATCAGAGAGGAGGTAACAGAGTCCCCATCCCTGCGGCTGCCCCCCCCCTCACGGGACCCCACCCTGGCCACTGCCACGGGGGTGTGGGGGCAGCTCCTCTCTGCCCAAGGCACATCTGGTGTCCTGTGTGGGGCAGCGAGGGGAAACCCCCAGAGCACACCCCAAGGGTCTTATGTCTGCTGCAACCCAGATAATCACCAAGGAGGTCGAGGCCAGTGAGTGGAAAAAGAAATATGAGGAGAGCCGGCAGGAAGTGCTGGAGATGAGGTATGAGTTGCCCCCTCGCGTGTTTGCTCCTGGCCCTGTTCTGGGCAGCACTGGGCTCTGCACGTTCCTGGCAGGAGGATGCTGAGCGGGATGTAATGGGGTGACACAAATCCGCATCACCAGGGTGGGATGTTTCAGGAGAGATGTTCTCTTTGTGCTGGTGCCATGTAGAGCCTGCCCCTTCCTTTGTTGCAGGAATAAAATCCCATTAGCTGTGCCAGCCCCAGCAGCAGTGGCGGAGGGAGGTCTTGGCCTGAAGCAGCAGGGATGGGTGTTGCAGCCCCAACATCTGCGCTCTGTGGCCGCACTGCTGCTGTGGCAGGGGGAGGGGAGGGTGCAGCAGGACCCCAATGGGCCAGGTTGCTGGCAGGGGAGCTGGAGGTGCTGCAGCCCCTTAATGGTTTTTATTTTTTTTCTCTCTTCCTTCTAGGAAAATCGTGGCTGAGTATGAGAAGACCATTGCCCAGATGATAGGTAAGGTGCTGTCACCTGGCCAGGTGTGCAGGGAAAGGGAGTTGACTGCCACAGCCATCTCCACTTGGTCACTGTGTTCGTATTGTTTATTCTCCATCACAGAGGATGAGCAGAGGACAAACATGACATCTCAGAAGAACCTGCAGCAGCTCACGATGGAAAAGGACCAGGCTCTGGCAGACCTGAACTCAGTGGAGAGGTCCCTGTCAGATCTGTTCAGGAGATACGAAAACCTGAAGGGCGTCCTGGAAGGCTTTAAGAAGGTCCTTACCTTAGGTTCCTCTCCCTCCCTGCAGCCCTGGTCCCTGGACACAGGGTTCCTGTGCAGACACACTCCATTTTTCTGTGCTGCAGTGCCGGATAAAGGGCTCCAGCATAAAGCAGAATCTGGTTCTATTTAAAGGCTTTATTTTTACACTCAGAACAGGATCTGTCATCCCACCAGAGCAATGCCTTCGTGCCCAGTCCCAATGCAGATGGATGTACTTTCTTTTCTAGAATGAAGAAGCTCTGAAGAAATGTGCCCAAGATTATCTAACCCGGGTCAAGCAGGAAGAGCAGCGGTATCAGGCCCTGAAGGTCCATGCAGAAGAAAAATTGGACAAGTAAGGTCATGCATGAGATTGCTGGGTGCTTCAAGACCGTGTAGAGCAGCAGCTCCATTCGCTTTCCAGAGGTTGGAAGGCAGGAGCTGAGTGATGTGAAAAGCTGCATTTTACAACCTGAGGCTCAAGTGACTCTAAGTAAGGCAGTGCAAATCCCTGAATGCATTCTCTGATCTCTGCTTATTTATTTTTTAATGGGGAATCTGAGGTTCACGGTCTATTTACAGTCACTTACCAAGTTCCCATGTTTCAGAGAGCTCATGTGTGAGGTGCACGAAGGGGCCATGCAGCCCCCAGGGCTCAGCTGGTGAGCAAGAGCTCACCAGCACGTGGTAACCCTGAGTGAAATGGGTCAGGAACTGGTTTAGCTTCACTCTGAGAGAGCAGAGCTTCATACAGGAGCTCGGAGGAGCTGAATTAATCCAGTTTTGCCCAGTTTCCATATGGGATAACCACGTTTGGCGCATCCAGGCAAGCGGCAGCTGGGCTCTGCTGATGGCACATGGTCTCAGGCCATGTCACAGTCCTCCTGCCTGCACCCAGACCTGACCACTGGCCCCCTCTCTCCACCCCCTCCGCAGAGCCAATGAGGAGATCGCCCAGGTGCGCACGAAGGCCAAGGCGGAGAGCACGGCGCTGCACGCTGGGCTGCGCAAGGAGCAGATGAAGGTTGAGTCCCTGGAGAGAGCCCTCCAGCAGAAGGTAACACACCTGCCCTGTGCCTCTCTGCCAGCCCCACCAGCAGTTCCATTTACTGCCTTGAGCATCCTGTTGATGCTGAAGGAGTCCTCCAAATTTTTGGTTCACAAACTGTTTTGTGGTTTGGGTTTTGGAGGTGGTTTCTTTTGTTCACTTGGGGATTTTTTTGTGATTCGTGGGGTTGGTTTGGGGTTTTTTTGTGCAGAGCTTGCTTATGTGTGCCCTCTTGTAGAGGTGTGGGCTGTACAGCTGTGGGTCTCTGCAGCACCAGGTCTGACAGGGATGAGGAAGGGTGACCCAGAGGTCCCTACGGTGCCTGGGTGCACAGAGAAGCTGTTGCAGGGGCAGGTTACCCCTTCCCAGGTTCAGTAACAGATGGGCCCAGGTGTTATCCCGCCCAGGTGTTATCCCCCACCTGTGCCACTGTGGGTGCCCCCAAGGTCTGCTTTTCTTCCAGAACCAGGAGATTGAGGAGCTGACCAAGATCTGCGATGAGCTGATAGCGAAGCTGGGAAAGTCAGACTGAGCCTCACCGCCCCTTGCCCAGCACTCTGCACTTGGCCGCTTTCCTCGTGACGTCAAGCACCTTGCCTTACCCCCAGGACTCCCCTGCAGCGAAGCACACGTGTCCAGCTGCCCTGCTTGGCTGCTGGGCCCACGGCCTCTGAGCAGAGCTGCTCCCCTCACTGTCCCTGCCTGCTTTTCACAGCTCCAGGGCTGGGATCCCTGTGGTCAGGCTGGGAATCCTGTGGTCAGCCTGGGGCCTGCGTGTCCCTCCTCGGGTCTGCTGTGCTGTCCATCTGCACCAATGCCACCTCTCAGCTGGGAGGTGACACCCTCGGCTCTGTCCCCCTTGGCTGGGCTGGGTCTGGTTGTGTCCCCACCACACTCTCTGTCACTTACTGTCCTCCTGTGCACAGGTCCAGCCACGTGGTAGGTCCTGCGCTGGGATGCAGGTGATGCCAGGGCTGGAATTGTCAGCTCTTGCACTGGGGACGGAGACCTGGCATGTGGATTCTTGGCTGGGGAGGCAGCAAAGGGTGTTGAGGGCCCCAGGCACCTGCCACAGGTGGTTTGGGGCTGCTGGTGTGGATCTCCTGGCTGAGGCAGCCCCCTGGCACATGGATGAGGTTTGGGAGAGGTGTTGCGGTCAAAGGGGCTGGTCCTGGTCTCTGGTTCGTGGGTGAAGCACAGCATCTCCCTGTCCCTGGCCATGCCAACCTCAGAGGAAGGGAGCCAATATCTCTGCATTTGTGCACTTTATGAGCATTTATGGGCACTCAGGCTCTCTGCTCACTCCTTCCAGTCAGGCACAGTCCTACTGCACGTCGTGTTCCCCTCAGAGCACCGAAACAGCCATGCTGTAAGGTGGTAACTTCAGTCCTCTCAAGGGACAGTCTGGGTGAGGGATGGCAGGAGGCTGCTGCACCAAGAGGTGTTTGAGAAATAGGGGAGATGTTGGTTCTGGGGAGCTGGGAATGCTGGGGTGTGCCATGGGTCAGGGGAGCTGTGGGTGGTGGGAGCAGCCCCTTGGGCTCAGGGCAGATCCATCCTGTCCTGCAGGAGGCAGATGGATGGGATTGGGCAGCAGCTGCTGTGGTGGAGGATTCTCTGCCTTGAACCAATAGTCCTGAAGTGTGAAATAAGGGAAATATTTGCAGTTTGGACTGATTCCTGCCCAGCCTGTTGAACACTTTCACAAACCTTTTTGCTGCTACCTTTTTGTAACAAAATTGAGCTCTTTTCCTTCTATTTTCTAATTCCCTGTGTTGAGCATGCAGAGCAAACACCTGTTTAAGCCAGAGCCATACACTCGATTATATTTTACTAGTTATATAATGTATAGAGAAAGTTTATTATACACCTAAGCAAAGGCACTGGCAGCCTGTCCCACACAGCCTCCTGGCCTGTTCTCCACACTCCCAGTTATCCCAGCGATGGGCTGGTCACCGTGTGATGGAAAGCTGGTGTCTGACACTGCTTGGAGATGTGCACCTCTGGTTTGTGCTGGATATTCACTCTTTGCACAGCTGATCAGAAAGGAAAAGCCTTTTTTCTCCTCTTTTTTCACCCTCTTTCACCTCCCTACATGTTCCTCTCCAGGGCTGGTAGAAAAGTCTCAGTCATATGCTTGACGAAGACTGTTTCTGTCCCTTTTGGGGGCCTGTGCAGGTAAAGGAAACTCCTGAGACCCAGGGATTTCTTGGGCAATCGGGTTTTTCTCTTTGCAGCTCTTGAGAAACTGGAGAGCAGCATTGCACACCCTTTCAGAGCTAGAGAAAGGCCAGTTTGGGAGCTCATTTCTGGTTTGGTACACCAGCTTGCTCTTCTGCCTGCAGCAACACCCAAGGTGCTGGCATGAGGCTGATGGAGCCCAGGTGCAGAAGGCAGGTCCCAGGTGGGGACTGGGGCAGCCATCAGCCTCCTGCTCTGCTCAGGGCTGTGATGCTCCAGTGCTGGCTTGGCTAGAGGTGTGATGATCTGAGGTAAGTCCCTCCTCAGAGCATTGCTCCGGCCCTCAGAGCTGGTGGATAATTACAGAAGTTGCATTTCACCACTCAGCACTTCCCCAGAGCCCTGACCCACAGACAAGCATGGTCAGTGCTGCAATCTTCCCCTCTGGGCTGCCTGCAGAGCATGGCTCCACTGCAATAACCTGCAGGGCAGAGTCCTCCATCCCTCCTGTCCCTGGTCCTGCCACGCTGCCTCCTGCTCCCAGTGCTGCCACGTTCCTGTGCCTGTCTACATGCACCCCAGTCTGGGCAAAGAAGATTCCTAAGGAATGATTTATTAACTATAATATGGTTATAGTTACCTATATATAAATACATATATAATGGCTAGAGTTACATATAATAGAAGGTGTGTGTTTGTAACCGGGCAGGACTGTGCCCCGACCACCGCGGCCCTGTGACCAGTGTGAGGAACAGCTGGTCCCCGTGTGTGGGGATCACAGACTGGGTGTGTGTCGTCTCTTCCTTGCAGTAGGGTTAAAATTCTCCTTTCTGGCAGTGATGGGCCCTGCCCAGACGCTGTGTTGCTGTTTGCAGTGTGCATTTGCCAGCCTATCTGTCTGTAATGAAGTGCCAACCCCCAACCACAGATCGTTCCCCCTGTCCCTCCAGTGTGATCCCCCCAGGCAGGAGCTTCCTCTGCAGTGACTCCTACCCCTGCGCTTCGTGCCACGTGTGTAACTGCCATCGCCATCAGTTTTATATGTATGATAATTTCCTTTTTATATGTCAGGTAAATATTTGTAAGAGTTATACTCACACAAATGAGATGATTATAATGATTACTAATATATTTTTTCCATGTTTCATTGCCTGAGTAAAAATTGTGTTTATCACTCTTGAAATCCTTGGTGTTTGTGAAGGGTTTTTGGAAGAGTTGGATTTACCTTCCAGCATGGGCCATGTTCTGCCTTGTGTTTATTGACATGGTTTACATTGCAGTTGGTCTCAAATAATCACAATTATTATGCGTTCCTGAAATCTGTCTTCCTGAGCTCTGAAATTTAGACCCGGGATGACTTTGCTGCTCCCATGACTCCCACCACACTGCAATGGGCTGAACTGTGGTGGTTGAGCTCATCTGGGAGCCAGAGCTGAGGCAGCAATGGGATGTCAGGCAGAAGAATCCTTGGCTTAATCCCGGCACTGACCCTGACAGCCTTCCATGGCCTTGGCTACATCCCTCTGGAAGGACAGAGCCCTGGGGGCTGGGAAGTGCAGAGGTGGCACTGTTGGGTTCCCAGCCCCATAGGGGTTTTCACTTGATCTCTCACACTTCTCTTTTGGTGGGATGGAAACTTGGGGGGGGGGCTCCCCCAAACTAGCTGCTGCACATGAGAAGAACGGAGTTGTTCTCTGGATGAAGCTGGTGGGCTTGGTCATGCTCTTTGAAAGCCACCACGAAGTTCCGTGTCTGGAGATGGTTCCCAAAGCAGACATGGGCAGGACATGAGCAGAACCCAGCCCAGCAAGTGTGAGTAGATCTGTCCCCCTCCACCAGCACCAACATAGTGCTCTGCCCTGCTCCCACACCCCAGTCCAGCCCATGCCCTTGAGGAGCCACGTCCCATCCTCCACAGGTAAGATGGCATTATCCCAGGGCTGCAGGGAGGCCTTATCCCCAGCCCCTGATCCGACGGCCCAAGCAGATTAGCTATAAGACCTTAGGACAAAACAGCAGCTACGCTCCCCGTGCTGCACACTGCTGAGAATGCCCACCTTGAAGACCCTCCTGGCCCTGGCCATCATCATGTCCCTGGCTGGAGAACGTAAGTGTCCCTTAGCTTCAAGCAGTGTGAGGCCAGGTAAATTGCTGTCGCTGCTCCTGTGCTTGTTGCTGCTTCATCCCTGCCACCTGCCCAGGGGCTGGTGTGCACCTGCTGTGCCCCTGCCTCACACTGCTCCCTCCCCTGCAGGAAAATGTTGTTTTGAGGGGAGGGTGGCTTTCTCCTCTGTGGAGCACCCAGAGGAGCTGCCTGCCTCTCACCTCTCCTACTGACACAAAGCCTGGGCATGCAGTGCCCATCAGGGACCACAGAGCCTCTGGTCGCCACCTCCAAAGGAACCCAGGAGGTACCTGAGCAAAAACCCAGAAGCTTCTCATGGCTAGAGATGTGTTTCCCAGCTAAAACTTGGTTCCTTCGAGGCAGAATCACAAAAAGCCTTCACAAGGCAGGAGGGTGGCCGCACTGTTCAGATCGAGGCTGTGGAGTGGGGGCAGCTCCAGACAGTTTCAGGATCTTTGGACCAAGGCATGATGAACCCAACTGTGTTTTTAGCTTAGGGGAGATGAAAGGCTGTTCCGTGCTGTGAAGAACCGCAAAGAAGACGCAAAGCAACGCGCAGTGGAAGCCGGGTCACTGCGGGTTAGTGGCTTACTGGCATCTGAGCCCCTGAACCCCTAATTTTCCCCATCCCTGGGTTTTCTCCTCTCCCCGACGGAAGGTGGGAGCTCTGGCCAGGGCCGGCCCCGCTGCCACGAGAGGGCTCTGCTCAGCCAGCCAAGCACGGACGGGTTTTACTCGCACTGCCAGCGGTAATTTAACCATCCCCATCCAAATCAAGCATTCATCGTTTCAGGCTTGAGCAGAGTCTTCGGGTTTGGGTTTTTCACACTTGGAAGAGTTTTGCACTAATTTTGTGGTCAGGAGAGACCCCCATCCCGCATCCTGCTGCGTGCTGTTGCCGCATCTGTTCCTGGCTCGACTCTGCCCTGTGCCAACCCTCACCTGTGACTCCCTGTCCCAGCTCTTACTCCTCCTCATCTTCGCCCAGGTAAAGCGCTGAAATGCCACAAATGCGTCGCGTCCAACGAGAACGACTGCGACAAGCAGGGCTCCCACAGCTGCCCCCAGTATGCTGACGCCTGCTCCACCATCACGGCGCCCAGTAAGTGCCCTAGAAGGGGGGCCGGGAGTGCCGGGGGGACTGGCGGTGCTGGAGAGGGGACCGGAGGGGCCGGGGACCTGCCGGGACCGAGCAGAATTTGGCTTCCTCTTGTGGGGATGCGGGA